ACTTATTTTTGTATAGAATATGTGAATATCTTTAATATATAATATTTATAGATGGATTTAACAAAATGGTAACCCACATGCCAGTTGGAGTCTAAGTCTATACCAGTAATCTGCAAAATCAAAACTATAGTTCTACATTAATACTAAACACTACAATTCTGAGAATGCCTAAGAAGATTACTGTAATTTCAATATTGAACCTTTAGAGTTTTAAAACCATATGAAAATTAAATCACTTGCATACCCAAACAGATGTTTGGTTTAGAAACCTGTAACAGCAGAAAGAAATTATTAAATTGAATGCATTTAATATGCAAGCAATTAAACTGACATACTGTATACATGAATTCTGATACTATACTAATGATTGTCAGCTATAGGATTTTCCTCATCATTTCACTTTCACAAAACTTATGTGTCCGCTAAGGTTAGCTCTCTTCAAACAGAAATTGTTTTATGACAATGTTTTTTATCTATCTATCTATCTATCTATCTATCTATCTATCTATCTGAAGAAAACTGATGTAGGCTTCCTTGTTCATGGTGTGCCTCAGCTCTTGCAGGGGTTATAATTTCTTTCTTTAGTAGAACGTAAGTATGAGAACTGTTCATGTTTAGAACACTCACACACCTAATTAATATCAATGAAAATAAAGCAGACTTTATAACAAATTTAAGCCTGAGGCTGAAATGGGCAAAGTCTCAGTCTTCCGTCATTATTACAATGGAATGTCCTATTTTCCTAGTGTCTTACTGACAATAGCAAGTTCTAAAGATTCCATTGACATTGCTATCTATTGTTTTGTAAGTTTTCTACATACAAACAAAATGCATTTTTGCCACCCACCTTCTGTTTATCTTGGTGATTGTTGCAGGGATTTTCTATTTTGCTAACATCCTTTTCCCTTGTGGATTCCACGTTTGGAGCTTCCTTGGGCAGCCATCTTCATTGCTGGTATTCAGTTGTATATTAAGTGCCGCGGTTCTAATCGTTTCAGAACTTCAGTCACTGGTCTTTCAAAAATCTGCACCTCCCACCCTCTGCACTGCACCCTGAAAATTATTTGGAGCTCCTTCAGCGGGAGACTCGTGTCGCCAAAAAGGGAGATCCTTCCTTCCTGTGGTCATTAGAGTATAACTCCTCTTCATTTCTCACTTATGATGTAATAAATCAACTGTAATATGTTTCGCCCTCGTAGACCATAACCGAACACTGAATGTGAAAATGCCAGTGTACAGTACACAACTTTTTTTTAAGTGTAAACTCTGAGCATTGGCTTGTCTGAGGACCAATGATAAATAATTTTCTTGTATTTACGGCCAATAAAAATATGTCTAAAATTTAAATGTGATATATTTTTAGGCAAGAGAGGGTCAGACATATTTCAGTTTTTGTTGTCAACAAAAAATGAAATTTTTTTAATTGATTATGTTACAGATAATATTTCCTGTTTTTTGACAAGTGGTGCATTGACAAAATGATGTTACAGAACTCTGAAAGGCGAGACACCAGATTACGTCCTCGCTCAGGGTATTCATGGTGAAATATCTGCATTACTCAACATGAGACTCAAACCCACATGCCTGAGACTGAGCGTCATGCGAGCCGCTAGCCAGACTCATAGTCATCCACTGACAGTAAATTTATTTTTGTTTTTTTGTTCCATGAAGGGTACTAACTGTTCAAGGCACCCACATTTTGGGCTACCAAAAGAAAAAGAAAGTAAATATAATGAAAGATCTGCAGTATCTTTTAGGCCCTGATCATTGTGGGTACCCTGATATTATTAAAAAGTGGAAAATAATGTGAATGCTTTTTGAATCCTTGTCTTTATGTCCTAATCTGTGGCACGCTGTTTATGTATATTACACTGCCCTGATGTCTCACATTGTATTTATTTAACAGATGCCATTATCCAAAGTGACATACAGTTCTGATCACGGACAGAGGCCCTTATCCATTGACCCACATACTGCCGCCATATCTGAGCCTCTGGTATTGAGTGCTACAATCTTTGTTTTCCCTTGTTTTCAAAGGCACATTCCAGCATTACCGTTCCTTTATGCATCTGCCACTGATTGTGTGAAAAGACAACTGTTTCACCCGCCTGCTCTGGGTTGTTAAGCATTGTCCTTTCTATATGATTCTTTTTTGTTTTTATTTGCATGACCTCATGAGGTATACATTTATTTATTTAGCAGGCACTTTTGTCAAAAACTGACGTACAAGTGAGAGAGTAGTGTCAGACAGTCCCTGGGGCAATTGGGGTTAAAGGCCTTGCTCAAGGGCCCAATGGTGACATCACTCCACCAGCTACAGGTTTTTAACTGGCTAAATTCTGATCATGGTAACAGCATCTTAACCCACATAATGATTATTATCAGTGACATTGGATGCTTGGTGTGCTAAATTAAATCTGTCAGCTTGTAAGCAGTGTAGGTTCTGCACATTATCCAGACAACCCTCTTTGAATTTCTATAACATCTAAGGAGCATGCAGTCACAGATTCCCCCACAGAATCTTGAAAGTTTTATTATAGTCCACAATGTTGACAAATGTTCCATTTAATATGTTTTGTGACATGAATAGTGTGAATTGGATCTGTACATGACTTGTCAGTCTAAGCTTAAGCCTGATATGTTTACATTGCTGCTAATTTGCTTTTTTTAAAATCATGTACTGTCACATGTTTACTATGATTGCACTGCTACACTTTACTCTTATTTATGTATTTTAGATATTTTTACTCTATCTTGTTACATTGAAAATGCATGCAGCGCTTCGCTGAACATGTCCAATGCCAAAAAAGATGTTCTTCTTCCTCATCTACTGCCTCCTTAAGCCTCTTGTCTTTGTTGAGGTTCTTTCCCAGCACAAGCAGAAACATTAATCCTGAATCTCCACAGTTTAAAAACCTGTTTTACAAGCCTTTGGGATTTTCCTCCAAATCTCCCCCCCACAAAAAAAAAACAGTCTGTACGGCATAATAATAGAGGTATTTCCATGTATCAGACTGCTTTTTCAGTGCCTGAGGCACACCTAAGATGGGTGACACACCTCATTTTTTTTTTGAAAACTCTATTGTGGTTGTTCTAGCGGTCAGTTTCAGTTAATAAGATACCTGGTGGATTGTTTGTTCATACTGTCAGAGTTCTGACCTTGTCATGATTGCATAATATACCTCTTTTGTAATCAGATGCTTCTCTTCATCGTTTATTGCATTTTACTGAGCTTTTGCCTTCGCTGCGTCTGGTCAGACATTGTTTTAAAGCACTTTTTAATGTACCTCCTTCTTTTCCCTGTACATTTTACACCTGATGTGGGGTCTTCACCCCACAGAAACTCTCCCCATGTGTTGCTTCAAATTTCCTTTACTAATTCCAGCCGTTTACAGATGTCATAATTGACACCCTCCCACAAATACTGTAAAAAAATGGAACCTGCTGGTGAGTGAGGCAAAACTTTGACGGAGGCCTCGTCATTCTGGAAATCCACAGTGTCGTATGTTCTTCTGGATGTCCCCGTTGTAGGTTCAGCTTCAGACTGAACAGCAGTAGGTGGTGAATTAAGATAGTATCTGCTGCCCTGTGGACGTCGATATCATCCAGTGTATTCTATTCCACTTCCATCCAATACCAAAGTAGTTTTCAGTTGTCGATCTGGTGACGTCCGTGTAATGGATTTTCTAGTATGAAAATATTCTTTCTCAGTGACCAGTCTGTTGGATGCATGTTTTGGTCAGTCTGACTGAGATGGTGCCTTTCCATTCAGGCTTATCAACTCATCAACTTCATTATGTGAAGTGTCAATACCACATTGTAAAAGATGGCTTTGTGTTCCTCATCTTTATTACTTATTAGAATATTTATCAATATTCAAGAAAACAAGCTGAATGAGATTGACCCCGCGACCCTGAACAGGATAAAATTCAGATGGATGAATGAGATTCACTAATGAGAAGCCACACCTGCCAATTAATATCAGAAAATGCTCTGGTTTATAATTTCAATTAGTTTTTCTAATTACTTAGCCAGTTCTGTAGCCGTAAAATCGGATTCCATTCCAGTAAAAGCTCATATTAAACTGAGTAATAGTAGACTGTGTAGCCTAATCAATCTCTAATCTTAAGTAAAAAGTTTTCTTTTGTAACAAATCTTTTACTTGTTTTAACATTGCTCTTGACATATTCCTCAGAGATTGCTGTGTAAGTAGAAGCCTATCGACGCCGGTGAAGCGGTATCTAAATGGGGTAAAGCAGGAAGCCCTCTGCTCCATGTTCTGCTGAGGACCACATTATTTACTTGCTATCTTGTCTCTTTCTCTGCCTCCCAAGCTCATCTGTTAAAAGTAAATGCTGAAACCAAGGTCTAGCATTACTTGGTACATTCCTTAAAACGGTGAAGATACTACCCACATGCCGTTTGCCCAAGCAGACTGCAAACTTTCAGTCAGAATGGAGTCCTTCTTATAGGTGCAGTGTAAAAAAAAAACGGGCTAGTTGGCTGTGTGCCACAGTATACATTTACTATTAGATAAGCAAATTAGCTAGAGTACACGAATATTTACATTAACGGGCACAGCCATTTTTTTCTTCTTAGTATTTAAGTAAATGAGCATAATCAAATAAAATGTTTATATTTATTTAAACATTTACAGACTATTGCACAGTTAAAGAGTATTTATTTACAGTATCTGGTGGGGAAAAGAGTTTCTTTCTTGTACTCGTGTGTGAATGTGGCTCAATGTTAAAAGAAACCAATAACCACGGTATTACTACCAACTATACATCTTAGTGAAGTATAACCTAAAATACATCGCGATCCAAATTAGAAAATGATGGATGAGAATGGAAAACAACATCTGTGTAAGGCCAGTGCATTATTTTTAACAGCGTATGCAGCGTATCTATTTTTAAAATTGGTGCAACATTTTCCTAAAAGTCTGGGTTTGTTAATATTGCTTTACAGACAATAGGAGCGCGTGAATACAGCCCGCCGCCGTTTGCAGACGTCCAGCGCCGAGTCACGCGAGGGTTAAACGGGGGGAGGCGCGCTTACATGTATCTGGGTGGGGAGAAGCTGGATGTGTATCGTGAACTTTTTCTTAATTAGTCAGAGAAAAGTAAAAGTAAAAAAAAACTTGGCGTTTGTTTATATCATAAGGGGACAAAAATAACGCGTAACCGAGCGGTGCGGACTCGTCACTCGACAATGGAGGGTGTCACTGAGGAGTCCTTACTGGACTTTATTTTCACGGCAGGAGGGAAAGTTAAGAATTCAGATTTACTGAAAAGATACAAAGAGTTTATTAACCACAACGACAAGGACTTTCGCGGTGAGTTACCGCGACCCTATAAGCGGCTCTGCCTTGCGTACACAGTGTTTTCTGGTCTATCGCGGTTCCATGTGTGTATTTTACATCGCTAAATATCGTCCTTATACTTAACTTTTATGTTTTATAATGCAGATTCGCTATTCATGTTCGTTGTGAGGTGTTCATTATAGGTGCTTCATATGCTTTTCCCGTGCCTCACTTTGGTAGGGCAGCCACACATCTGTTTCATATTTAGAGCCTTTTTAACGGCTAAAATTATACTGGTATTCGCTGGTAATTTGCTTTCTGACGTTGCTGGGAGCCGTACAAGTCAGCGTGTACCAGGCACGATAGCTGGTCACTGCAATCTGCTGTTTAGGCACCAGCCAAACGGCCAGTCTGATAACAGCGTCCTTGTAACGTTCATTCATATTTTCTAATTACTTGATCTTTTAGAATAATGAATGTCAACAAAGCATCTGAGCGCATTTTAAACTTCTTAACCTCTGTGTCTGCTCTCAACACATCCCTAGAGAGGACCCTTGACCAATAGTTTGCTTAATTACGTGAAGACTCAGTGAAGTGTTACTGCAACAGATTTTCTAAACCTAGATCAGTGTTTCTCCCTCCTTCTGTCTGTTTAGGTCATACATCGTGCGTTTTGTCGTCAGGTTGCACGAAGCTCTTACATTATCATGCCCTATAGCCAATGTTAAGAAGTTATAAGTTGGTTCATCATGTATTTACACTTGGCAACAGACTTTAGTGCTCCAGACAAGATTAAAAAGTTTACATGTTCTGCATATAGCTTCCGAAAGGCCTATTTGTTTATATTCATATTTGTATTTATAACCTAAAGTGATCGCCGAGGATCATTGATTCTTGTACCTCATGAGAGGTTCAGAAGTTGAAGTCTGCCTTGAAAATGTGCTGTTTGACACTGGTTAAGTCATTATTCCCGACGCCCATTTAAGCGGGACAACATTATATGCTTTGAACTCTGTTGTTTAATTGTCGTCTGGGCTGCTGCATGTAGCTCTTTGTGTATTGAGCTCAGCAACACATTTTGTTCGCACCTATGCAGCCAGCTTGTGGTTAATAAATGGCCATCTATCCTAGTGTCATTTTCCCCCCTAGTCATGCCAAAGAACAAAGAAGCTCAAATCTAGGCAGGATTTAGCCTATTTGCCTTCTAACTACAATCAGGAATCAACATTGGAGCACTGATTGTAAAATTAGCAACAGTAACAAGACTAGTTAAATTAGTGCTAACTGATTTCACAGGGTTGCATCCAAACCCAGTTGCAGATACATTAGATACCTCATCACAACAGCTTCATTTAGATGCAATAACTTCAATTCAGAGTGATGCCTAGGTCCCACTGGATTGAGGTGATTGAACATGTACTTATTTAAATTTAAAAATATTTGCTATTTTGAAGGATAATATGTGGTCATAACACAATGTTACAAATAGGATCATGACAGTATTCTTCTGTACACCACTTCTCAACTGTATGACGCGATAGCATCAGACTCGTCACACATGCCTAAAAGGAACCATTCAAGGGAGTCCTTCTCCCTGAGCTGAGGGCTTTTGGAGCACAGCTGAAACACTCAAGTGTTGTTGAACTCTGTCTTACTTTAGTTGGTATTGCAATGAGAAAAGGACATAAAAGACAGGAATTCTCACTTCGGACCCCTAAGTGGTTGCATCCTTTGAATTTCCTGTTTGTATATTTCAGTAAACCCTCCTGTGTTGAATATATGTCTTCCTTTATCTGACATATGTGTACAGATTAGAAGGCAGACAGCAATTCCCTACAAGTGGACTGTTGAAGGACTAGTTAACCGTACGTCTGGATGAAGAAATGAGCTGTGAAAATATTAAGTATTGATTAAATATGGTGGTTTAATATTTTAGCGTCTAAGGTCTGCAGGAAAACTATGAGGCGTAGAGCAAAGATATGTCTGGAATCCTAGTTTTGTGTTTAAAGTCAACCTCATCAGTAAAGGAAAACTGTCCCGGATGTAGAAGGATAGCATGCCACTGAAGATAAGTGTTATTGTTGGTCCACTTCCTGTCTCTACTTCCTGGATTCCTCCCTGTCCTGTGTGTGTGTGTGTGTGTGCGAGTACATGAATAATTGCGTGCATGTGGTCAGCTTGTTAAGGGAACTACTTATCTTTGAACTGACCCTAGTGCATGTGGAGGTGAAGTAACCATCCACAATTCTTCACGATTTGTGCAAAAATTTGTGCCTCTTATGTAGAGTAAAAGGACTGTAGAATTTGTCATGCACTCAGTAAAATGTTTGTTGAAATCTACCTCCATATGATGTCCAATAGATTCTAGACTCTCTCATTTCTGAAATACACACACACACACACACACACACGTTACTACATGCTGTCAGAGAGAAACTACACAGAGCCTCCAGTTTGAAACCACAACACCTGGTTAGTATAATTGACATATAGCCTGAGCTGCTGTCTTAAATAGTGCATCTCCACCTAAAACGGTACGATTGCTGCTGTTTAAGGGTGTACTCACATTAGGCCCGGTTGCTCTCCTTCCCCCACTGGTCTGAGCCCACATAGCACTTAATGTTCCGGGCCTGAGCACGCTTTCATCAGCAACGTGCAACTTTTTGTATCGAAAACAACATGCAAAGGATATTGCTGTCACACAGCACAATGGAGTTCATAATTAATTCCTTATTTTGTGGCTTATTTGGAGTCGTTTTAGGTGTAATGATGCATGGCCCTCATAAATTATGCAACACAACGCATTTCATGTAATTGTGCTGCACGTATAAGAAGATAGTCCCGTATTTTAGCAAATATCTCAGAGTTTTTGTGTGTTGCATCCAATTGTTCCTAGATACTCTCATCAACCCAAATCTCCAGCAAACACTGCACCTGTGCCATAGACCGAAGAGATCCCTTTGCCATAATGTTTGTTGCTACCCAATCTGTACTGCCTAACCGATCCGTTCCTTCCGGGTCCAGTTCATGTATAGTGTGCATGTGCACATGCGTGTGCCAGTTGCATCATTGGCATCATGTCTGTGTTCCGTGCCCGGGCACGGTTAGCCATCACACTAGGTGTATCGTGCCCGATTCCAACTGATCCGTTCCCTGGCCCAACTCTTCAAGCGGGCCCAAGCACCGTACAGAGTGATCACACTAGTCAAACAAACTGGACTTTGGGGGTCAAATGTGCTTGGGCACAGTAGAGATTGCCTAGTGTGAGTACACCCTTAAACAGTCCTACGATATCCATGAGGGGCCTGAAGCCCTACAGATCTTGAATGTAGATCGCGATAGTCATCTGAAAACCAGCCATAGCTCTGCCTGATACGGAAGATACTCCCCACTCTGTCAAACTTAACACGGCCGTGACCTTGTTCCGAAACACTTTGAATGACAGTCTTTATTTTAAAAGAAAATGCATTTGTTCACCAGTTGCCTTTTCTTCATCCTCAGCAAAATACAGAGAAGAATTCAAGACAATTATTGACAAGATTGCAGTTGTGAAGTCAGAATCTGTAAGTAAATTATGGGTCTCTGCAAGGCGGGTGTTATATAAAAATTTTAACATTGTATAGCCCTGTATAATATTAGTGTAATGCCATCATAAATTAAGTAGCGCCCACTGATGACAACATGTTGCCGCACCCACCACACATCAAACCACCTCAGGGAGGAGAACCTGAGTGCAGCCGTGCGATACCTGAGCACCACATTAGTCCAAATGGAACAGTGTGAGATTTTCTGGTACCTGGAGTACCAGTCCTGCTACCAACCCCAACATTTTCCCTGTAAGTTGGAGGACCTGCTTGCAGGGCTGAATGTAGATTACCATCATACCCAGGATGAAGCACTTGCAGGTTAAGGGCCTAGCTCAGGGGCCCAACAGAGTAGAATCACTGGTGACATTCAACCTTCTGATTGCTGGCACTGATCCCTAGACTCAGAGCCACAACTCCGCCCTTGTACATTTTCTTCCAACACAGACCAACATTTGCTACTGCTTATAAGATGTTTACTTTTCACCCTTCAGGGTGAGAAGATCCTGGTCCTGAAGAAGAAATACAAGCAAATGATGGAGCGGGAAGCAGAGCGGACATCCAGTGGGCAGGGGCAGAGGGGTAGCCCAGGCAGGCCATCCAGCCCAGGAGGGGATGAGGCATCAAGGGCAATCGATCATGGGCAGAACTTGGGAGTTCCTGGTATGGCGGCAGTGAAGGATGCTGGAATAGTGAGCCCCTGCGGTGTATCCTGGTGTGCAGGCCCAACCATCACCATCACGGAAGCACCAGATTCGCAACCTGTAGATGAGGTGAGGGAAGTTTCTGGTTTCCAGAAACGGATGTTTGCGAATTTGAATCCTGGGGGTGGGAGAATGATGCTGCCTTTGAGCCCTTGAACAAGCCCCGTAACCCACAATTGCTCCAGGGATGCTGACTGACCCTGCACTGGGACCCAAAGCTTGCTCTCCATGTTTCTGTTGGTTTCATGGAGAGTGAGGTGGGACAGGGGAAAAGACGATTTCCCCACAAGGATGAATAAAGCATCACTATTCTGTCTAAGTGATGTATAGTTGAGAAAGCAGGGTTAGCATAGAATTTGAACCAGAGACATTCCGATCACAGACAGAGTCCTAACCTACAGAACAACCCACCACCCCAACTGATTCTATCCTACTCATTTTGTGCAGGTTTCAGTCCAAAGACATAAGTTTGAGTGAATTGGTTGAAGTGTATGAGAATGAGTGTGCCCTGCATCCCATCCAGGGTTGTGTCCTGTACTTCCTGGAATAGGCTCCCGGCCCTCTGGTAATCCTGTACTAATTGAAGATGGCTGGATATTTGCCCATGTCACTGCCCTTGCTTATGGTCACAGGAAATGTAAGAATTTCTCAGCCTGGCTCCACTCAACAGTGGTCAGTGAATCAAGGCCGTGGCTTAGAAGAGAGATACAATAATGTTCCCAGAGTTAAATAAGATGACTCATTTGTCAACTTTGAGGAAGGAATAAATGTCTAAACCAAATTATTTCTAATGACACCTGTGAGTTCTTATTAAAGTGGCAGAGCTTCGCTCTGCAGCTGTTTGGGACAGATGGTTTGTTAAAGCTTGAAGATGGTGTGAACTGTTTGGGTTTTTTCTGTTAATTCACAGAAATTGTTGGTGTCTGCCATGTCTGTACGCTGAGTGCCAGTTTCAGTTTAGAAACGACTGAGATGCAGCTGACAGCGGTTCGCAGATCTATTTTTAAGCTGGCCACTTCCCAAGTGCGGAGTGTTTATGGGGGAGGTTGGTCTGTGGGGGACGGGTGGGGTAAAAGCCATTACACTGTTACCAAACATCTCTGCCCCTTCCAGGAGCAGCACATAGAGGAGACTCCCTCCCTACCTGGACCTGGCCGATCCCTGTCCCCACAAGCAGAGGATTCCCGCATTCTGGTTCACAGGGAGGACGAGCTTAATAGAGAAGGCGGGTCAAAGGTAAGAGGCATTTGCTAGACCCTGCTGTTAGGTCCTGGAAATGGGCCAGTAGTCCAAAGTTTAGCTCAGAACACATAACATTTTGTTCTTTTGGGTTTTTGCTTATTGTTCCCGTGTTTGTGAGATTTGCCTTCTAATAGCTCAATGTTTTCTTCCATCCTCTCATTGTATTACTCCAAGCTTCCACTAGATGGCAGAAGAAATGAATGTTTTTCTTACATGTAATCTTAGAGAGGAACATGGTAGCATTGTTTGTGTTTCTCCCTGCTGAGGCAAATTTGATACTTCATGATGGAAATACAGGAGAAATTAAATACATTGTGATTAGACCAAAACAAAAATTTAATAATTTGGTTGTCCTGAAAAAGATGTTTTGATGAATCTACTGTACTGTGCAAAAGTCTTAGGCAGTCAAAGAAAATGATGTATAAATGATCCTCATGTTGGTGTAAAACTATGGTATTATGTGTGTCAGCTTAGCCCTTTCAAAAACATCTCCTAAAGTCACCCCAGTGTTTGCAGCAACCGTCCAATACACCTATATATATATTTTAATTGACCATTAGTAAATTATTTTTGGCTAATCAATACCTCATTAACTTTTAAACTAATTAATTTATTAAGTGAGCTTATGATGAAATGTGACAAATACATGCAATAGCTTAAGTGCCCCTGGGGAGAGATTTGGGAACTGAAGCACCCTTCATCTAACCATCCAGCTAGATATCAGTAACTTTTTGGAAAACTGAAGAAATGCTTGTTAGATTGTATTGCGTTACTCTTAATTTGCATATTCTAATGTTACATTTTGTTCTTGTTCTGAGCAAATATATGCATACCTCCCAGATAAATAGCTTTAAAAATTTCCCTTGACTGCCTTTGCACAGCACAGCAATACATATGATATTCGAGTTGCCAGTTCAGCTGATATTGTACTTTGCAGTGTAATCTCGTATCCTGCATGTTGTTTGTCAGGGCTGTTCATTAGAGTCCTTAGAAGACTTAGGTCTACCTTTTGTGCTTTAAAGAAAACAAATATGGCAGATGAATCAGTTCTTAGAAAGAAAAGAAATAAATGTTTCCTCAGGCAGCTGATAACTGGGATATACTGCATCCCTCGTACGGAACACGACCAATGTTGCTGTTTTGGTTTAGCACTAAGAAGATTACAACCATTACTAAATTATTGTGTCCTCTTGTTGATTAACGTGGCCTCTTCTGTGTTTGCTCTTTATTTAATATTTATGTAATACTTGTGAGTTAGCTGCAGTTTAAAGTTTAAAATGCCCACAGATGTATGATAAAGAGATTTAATGGGTTTACTAATGGGGTTACTGTCGACACTCAGTCTACCACAGTGTCCTGTTGCCCAGCTTGCCTGAGTGTTGGGTATTGCGTTGACCCTTATATAGCTGTCATTACTTCAGGGTTGGTGTGTGGCTCAGTGGGTTGGGAGCTTCCAGTCACGGACTCCGTACCTGTGACTGGAAGCTTCCATGCTCAGCAGAATAGTCACATCTTCATTGGGCCCCTGAGTGAGGCCCTTAACCCCTAAAAAATGCTTCAGGGGTGCCAAATAAATACCCTGCATTTACACAGCAAGTTTCATTCTCACCCGTATATGTGTGTGTCTTAAAGGAAAGCATGATGTGATATGTGAAAATGAAACCGTTCTGATATATGTGTACAAATTCCAAATGAAGCTTTATTAGGGGAAATGGTCATCCGACAGTCATTGCCTGAGTGCTCACTGCTCCTCCGGCAGTGAAATTCTAATCACTACTGCCAGTGTCTGTTTTTATCCTGAGTAATTAGGTATGAAGTTCACACTTTTTGACTTCACATGGGATACAAAGAGTATTGATGCAGATATCTCCTACATTGGGTCTCAACACTTATGGAATATAAACCCTCATTCTCAAAATGTGTCCCTAATTCTCAGCAATTTGCTAGCCCCTCCACTCAAAGACTAACATGTTCACATATTGTGCTCAGTTGGGTGAAAATAATCTGTCACGATAGGCTCTGTTACACATTACACCAGAGTATGAAAGAGTCTAGTTTTAAACTAGCCTGGGTCTTTTTTTCCTATCACTGTTGTCTTTGGTTTAGAAACAACATTTTCTGCTCCCTGGCCAGCAGTGGGGTCTCTTTCTCTTTCCTCACATGTGGTCTTTCTTCCACTCTTTCTTCCCCTCCATCCCTTGAAGAAAAAGATTGTGTGTCTGGGTGGAATTAGCAGTATAAATATACCTCTACTTTCCATATAAAAAAGCAGCATATTTTAGTGACATTAAAGACCTTCTCTGTTTGCTTATGGTGTCCCCGCAATGGGCACCGTGATCTGAGAACAATTAGCAATCAAGTGTTTTAAAAGGAGCGCTCTGCTTGCCCTGGACATTAATCAGTTTAAATGACACTTTGATGCTTGCTCAGACATTGCAGCCGTTTTTCTAAATTGTGCTGAGCTCATGTAAAACATAGCGGCTTCTGAAAAAAAATGTGATGGACTTTTTAAAGGTGGCCCGGTTCCAGTAGAGCTGGCCACCATTGCTTAGGTTGCTTCAGTCCCCAGCTTTTGTAGACAGATGCAAGCTTGGATCAGAGGGACCTTATCCATTGCAAACAGGCTCCTCTTGCTTGCCAAAACCTTTAAAACTGATCCATCAAAATATCCCTATTTTGAAGCATAGTGGGTCTGTCATCACGGCACGGGGATTCTTACCGGGACAGAACACCAAATATCTACAGCTAAAATACAGCCTCTTCAAAACAGGGACTAGTATGATTAAAGGGATGTGGGTATGTGACAAAATTTTGAGTTTGCTGACTTGCCAGTTTAATTAGTTTAATGTCCTTAATTATGTTAGAACACTTTTTGTGCCTCTGTATTGTTACCTGAATCCCCGGTAGGTACACGCCACATTTGAGGACCTCTCTTGATGATGAGCCTAAATTCAGTGCCAATGCTTAGCAAGCAGAACGTCTTGGAACTTTTGTATGAAACTCCTTATAATGCCTGTGATTCGCTGAGGATCTGAGGGCTTGCCAGACAAAGGAATGATGTCATCAGCATGTTTGTGGGAACAAACAGTTCTGCTGCAGCGGATTCAGGCTTCAGCCAGTGACTGGGCACAAATGAGCGCACTGTTTCGGTACTGAGCTGTGTTTTGACGGAGGGCACAACCCTGCACTCTGCTGTTATGTTGCAGTCGGAGTCGGACCTGGAGCAGGAGCAGGACGAGGAGGGCACTGGCAGCGTGGGATCAGCTGCGGTGGCTGTGAGTGTGTCTGTGTGTGAGTGTGTGTGTGTGTGTGTGTGTGTGTGTGTGTGTCCTTGCTGGTTCTCATATGCATGGACTCGTGCTTTTTTAGCATTGGAGAGTGAGGCCAGATGTTTGACTTTGGCGATTTTTATCCAGCTCTTTAGTGTGTGTGTGTGAGTGTGTGTGTGTGTGTGGTTTCTGCATGGTGTGTTGTGTATCCACGGTGTCATATGTTCCTTGTGGATTTTATGGATTCTGTATTTTAAATGAACAGCGTAATATATGTTTTTGTGGAATTCAACATGTGGATGAAGTGTGTGTATGTGTGTTATGGGGACCTGAAAGCATGTTGCCCCCACAGCTGGACCCCCTGGAGAAGGAGTGGATGTACTCTGCGGCCTGCGGACAGCTGCCGCACCTCACCGAGCTCCTGCGGCAGGACCCCACGCTGGCCTCTAAGAAGGTTCACCTCTGACTCGTTATCAGTCCTGACCTCACTGTGGGCCACATTACCACCTCCTCAGCTTTATTGTCATCCCAGCCATGGATCATACACAGTGAAACGAAATAATGATCCTGCTGAATCCACAGTGTGACATTCATGACAAGATGGACGTTACAGTGCTATGGAATAATTTGCATAGTGCAAAAAAAATTATGTAATGTACAAGGGGAGATAGATAAAAGTAGTCTTACCACTTATATGTTCTACCTAACATAATATAACATAACACAACATAATGTAACAAGCCTTACATAACATAGGCATATGCTAGTTTCTGTACACATTCTGATGCTCCTAAGTCTTGTGTGACTTCTGATAAGGTTTTAGGTTCCACCTCAGTTTGTAAGGTCTAAAACAGAACTCCTGCAATTCTAGGAGGTGGACACAGTTTTTCCGTAGGACGAGTGGGAGAGAGAATTTTTTTTCCCCCCACTGGTGAAGGACACTGTGTAGTGAGATCCAGTTATAGCACATTCTGTCTCACATTGACAGGATGTTATGTTACAGCAGTGAGTAGTTTGGGGGTGATACCAATAACTATAGCTTTTATTATGCTACGGATGCAATCAAATACTTGCTTGGTGCAGTTTTCCACTAGAAAGTGTGCAAATCACATATTTTTGCTCGTGTAGTGATCAGAAGTTCTTCATCTTTCAAAGTTAGAATGTATGTTTTGCACATTTTCATTGTCATGTTTTCAGTTATCATTAACGTCTTTTTCTTTTTCTTTTCATTATAAACCAGGATTTCACATCAGTAAGTAGACTTTTTTAAAAAATTCCCCAATAACTGATTAAGTGCATGGCTGCATATCCACCAATCTGCATAGTTTTGTGTGTTGGACAGTGTGAGCCAGTTTGGGTCAGAATTTGCACGTCCTGCTTTGTGTGCATGATATGTTTTATGTTCTAATCATGTTAGCGGAACATTCTCAGTGGGCTAATGTGTGACTCTTTTTTTGTCTTGTGTTCTGTGTTGAACCTGCCGGACGCCATTCCTGTACTTCCAAGGGGGTGAGCAAGGTTCATTTTTCTCTCAAACATGCCAGGAATTGCTCATTTCAATGTCCATTTTACAGACTGTTGGGATCGTGTGGCAGAACTGTGCATTCTATTAATTTTAACAACAAAGATTCACACTGAATAATTACCGACAGGCAACACTGGGATTGTAAACGTGTGATATGAGAGACCTTGTGTAAGCGGGCTGTACAGGAATGTTTGAAGCCATAGGAGCGAAGATTGTTCTTGTTGTGACAGCAGATGAGAACCCCTGATGCAGTGTAACGTGTGTGACTCTTTCATCGAACCATTCGTTGGTGATTAACTTGACTGGGGGTAAACTGGAATTGTGGGATTTCAGCAGGGGCACAGAGTCAGGGGCCCCAGCACTTTACAGGGGCCCTTGAGTACATAATTGATAAAATTATATAGCGCAATAGGGGCCCAAGGTGACACTCTGTCAGGGGACCCGGCCCAGAATTTTTTGTTACTCCTCTGGATGTCAGTAGATGAACACGGCCCTCTGAAAGGTTTCCAGGCATTGGAGAACCACATAGAGAAACCAGATAAGTTCAGATTGACTCTTTACATCCTGAAAGGAGAAGATTAAACGACTTCTATATTGTTTTCCCCTCAAAATGAAATACCATGAGTTTTTTTCCCTTTTCCTGAAGGGGGCATGAGATGCATTTCAAAAGCTCACATGTCAAAGGGTAATGAAAGATGGGGTTTGGCTCCTTTGCATGTACACGGAGCCTAACCCTCTGATTTCTCTTGTGTGCTCTTAAGGGAACTTGGTTCTGTTTGTGGTTTCTCGCTGTATCGGAGTCTCTCCCACCGTCCCGTCCCGGACCACCTTCTATGACCACCTAAGCCCCCCACCATCTCCACCCGGACAAGATACATGGTCGGCATTGATGTGCGGGGGGGATTAAAACAGGACTCTTAAGGTGCCTCAAAGACTTCAGCCACTTAAAGATAATCTGAAAGTAATGGAGGAGGCCGGATTAATTGAAGAACAATGTCTACCGTGTCCCCGGGAAGGTGCTAAGCCAACTTAGCCCCCCCCGTGCGCACCCTGCCCCCCAGCTCTTTGATGTGCCCTCTGTGGTGTAGTCATGCGCACCAATCCTCGCCATGGGCCCCCCTGGCACCGCCGATCCCTGCCATGCCGCGTTCTCCGAGGCCCTTTGTGTGGCAAACTCCCAGTCAACGAGGGGTCAATAGGGCCCTTTTGTTGTAGCGAATCCTGCCCCCCCCCCACACGCCCGGGTCCCTGGGAGCCAGACGCTCTTTTCAAGTTGCGGGCCGGACCACGGTCCCGGATCTCCCGGCCACTGGGCGCGGCCGATGCCTGCACCGGCCGCCTGTATTCCAGCATCCAGACATTACCATACTCTCCAAAAGAGCATCTCCATTTCCTTCTTACTCATCACTGGAGTGTTGATACTTAGCATTATAAAAATAACAGAGATGAACCTGTCTGAGGAACTAAGATAACCTTGCTTCTGCCTTAGGGGGCGCCACTTACAGACCTTCATATTTATTATCAGTGGAATGAATAATCAATTAATCAAGCCGTATCATGGTAGCCCTGTCTTAGTCATATAACTAGTTGCTTAAATCACCTTTAGATGGCTGTGTAAAGCCAAAGGCAAGTGACATTTCTGATTTATCATGTTATTCCTTCGTTTTTGTTTTTTCTGTTCTCTCTATGTCCTGGGGATGCCTTTCTCTCCTGGATCCCATGCATAGTTTGTGAGTATTATTTCAGCATCGTTCTGTTCCTCCATCTCCTCTAACTCGAAAGTCTGTTGATGCTGTCGAATGACGTCCTTGTCGGGGGCAGCTAACCCGCGCTCCCCGTCTTTTAACTCCCGACAAAGAGCTGTCTCCCTGTGATGGATAAAGTGGGTTGGGATTGGGAAGGCTCGTCCCACTGGGCACAGACAGGGGCGTGAGGAGAGGAGACGGCTCTTCCTGTTCGCACTCGTTCGTCATCCCCCGTCCTCTGGGGCAGCCCGCCGGCCCGCCAGTCGCGTGGCTCCGCTGGGCCATCCGTCAGCCAGCGACGGCTCGCACAAAAAGCGGGTAAACGCCGCGGCCAGACGCACATCCGTTACCGCCTGCCACATTTTTCAAAGAAGAGCTCTCCCTGCACTTCCCAAATATCCCATGCGTGTCCCTATAAAATCAGCTACAACATTCCAGGGAATATCATTGCATCTCATTTATTTAACAGGTCATTTTATCCAGAATGACATATAATTTTTGAGAAATCAGGACTAGACCACCCCTGGACTAATTGGGGGTTTATGGGCGTTGCTTCTGGGCCCAATGGTGAAATCACTCTACTGACTCTGGGATTCAGGCCAACAACCTTCCGATGACAGGCATAGCACCTTAACCCACTGGGCAATGCATCATCTTTGAGTTTTAGTCTTGCATTCGCTTTTTTCTCCACATGGCTGACGGCTGTACAGAGAGATTATTGTATTGGCTTGACGGTAATGATCTGAAGTGTCACTAGACTGGGGCATTCAGGGCTCTAGCCCAGAATAATCAGAGTCATTTGTTTGCTCAGATGTTTTAACAACTATTCCCTAAGATCCTAGCAAGACTCCTGGAATTGATCATCAGCAAAATCACATTGACGTTATTGGCATCAAACTCCCGTGTAAATAACTAACAGTAAATAACTAGTTTGACAGTTTCAAATTGTGGGTCATTTCAGAAATGTGTCCCCTTCCATTCTAAAGAGCCATGCTTTAGATCTTATACTATCAGTTCCATAAATGGAAAAAAAAATTAAATATAAATAAATTGCAGCATATCAATGCCTTTTCTTGGTTAAATCGAATGGTTCATACGATGCAAAGTAAAGCATGTAGGTAGATAATTACCCACAGAAGCCATAAGATGTTTATTACTGTCTAGCATCAGCCTGTTGCTTGCAGGTATATCTGACTGTTCTTATCCACTTGTCTGTTTGGCTGTCTAAAATCTAATCACTTTGTTTGCCACATCACTCGACAGTGCAGATGAGTGAATATTTTGTGCGCAAGTTCACAAGAGCAGTGATAAAGTAGTACAAATGAAAAACAAAGTACACAATAATGTGAATATACAGCATTACCATGTTGAATAGTGTGCAAATTAGAACATACAAGTACCAGGCAAGATTTTGTTTCAAACAACCGGTTGAGTACTCTGTGACTGTGACTCTTTATACTCAACTGGCCGGTTGAAAAAAATCCCGGTTTGCAGAGATGTCCGCCTCTGATAAGTGCAGTGAATAGCCGTATGATTGTGCAGCTATGTGAATGTGCTTGTGGTGTGTATGCGCATGGTAGCCTGTGTGTGAGGCAGACGGGGTCCTGCAGAGGCCCGGGGCCGTCTGACAGGCCCTGACAGCAGGCTATGCCTGGATGGGTGGGTCTCTCATCTACAGGTCACACCAACATCATCAATCTTCCTCCTGCTGACAGCCCCCCCCCCTGCCGCCCCTTCCCAGTGTGGGCACACTGGTTTGTTGTTTTGTAATTAGCTCGCCATTAAATGGCAGGAAACCGTCCCCCCTCCATCCCCGTTCCCCCCTAGCCCTCCCACCTCTGCACAGCTGGCCAGTTCTGTCAGGGAACTCTGCTGTGGGGGCAAGGTGGGGAGTGGGGGCTAAATCTGAAGCCCCTGAAGTCAGGATCTCTTTATGTGTGTGATGAGCATCACAGATTCCTTCTTATGATGGTCTTTAAGGGCTTTTTTGCTTCTGAGTCATTATACGGGCCAGGTGTGTGTGTGTGTGTGTGTGTGTGTGTGTGTGTGTGTGTGTGTGTGTGTG